TTCTTCCGGTTGAAGTGGAACAATTTTGCGTGGGCCCTTGAGATTGCGATTCGTCGACTTGATTCTTGCTGGGTTTGCTCGACTGAGCAATCGACGGACCAAGTTGTCAGGCAAAATCACCAACCCATTGGACGGACCGACCCGGCTCTTTGCTGGTTCTGCGCGTCTTGTTGGGGATGTGATTGCTTACGTTTGCGGAAAAATGGTAACCAGCGATGACAAAAACCCATATGCCCCGTTTTTGAGCCTGCTGCAGATCTAAGAGTCGAAAATGACTCTGCAATTCAAGTGGGTCGTGGAGAAGGCAGCGCCGAATGACCCTGAACCGACTGGGCCATCATGGGCGGGCTCGCGCCATAAGCCTCGTACACGCTTGTCGAGTATATGGACCTGAATGCAGGTCGCACCAATCCAGGCATGATCGTCAACCCATCCAATGGTCCAGTCGCGCTCTACAATGGGTGTGTGCATCTCGAGTGCGACGTGGTTCTGTACGTTGGCGGCCGCGTGTCGGAGAACGGCGAGAATGGAGGCGTGAGCGCGTCTTTTGTCAACCTGCTGCTGATCCTGCCGCAAGAGTCGGACAGGTCGCTGCAGTTCAAGTGAGTGACGGGTACGCCAGCACCAAATGACACATAGTCATCCTCGCAGTCAGGAAACAGGTCTTCGTCGTCGTTTGGCTCAGGATCTGGGTCTGCGCAGCGGAGTGATTTATGTTCAGCTGTGAATGCGGGCGCGACCACTGGTGCTGTTGCTCTTGTGATGGCAATGGATGCTATCGCGTATTTTGTGCGCCGGCGCCGCCAATCGCAGAAAAGCTAAGTGCTGCAGGTGCAGCCCCTTCTTGCCAACCATTCGAATGTGAAAGAGCCCTCCAAGAACGTCGACGTTGTGTTGGCCGTGCATCCACACACGCCTGCCCACCCCCATGACACTTCATTTGCCGGGAAGCGCGGTCGTCATGAGCACAGCGAACCTGCCCCGGTAAATGAGCATACGTCGGCGGATCCACTCTATTTGCCCGGCGATGTGGTGTCGAAAAAGGTGGTCGGATCGGAGGCTTGATTGGCGCCAGAGCATGCAGCTGATGGCACCACGTTCCGCTTACCAAGCGACATGTTTGCACGGCCAGAAGCATTTTGGCAAGTTAAATGCAAGATTCCGGACGCGCCATCGGCGACGCGCCGCAATTGTACTAAGGCGCGCATTTGATAATAATTGATTCGCACACAGTGTCAGCCATTGGTGTTGTTGTTTGTTGTCTGTTGTCTGTTGTCTGTTGTTTAAGCCTCTTCAAGTACGTCAATGTTTGAAGCAGGTTGTGGTCGCCCGCCGCGATCTGTTCTCATCTACAGGTCTATTTCAAACCAGCAATATATACTTCGATGTTTATCATGTGGGAGCGGGCTGTAGAAGCCCAGGGTCATGGATGTGCGTTCGTTTGAATTTTACATCACACCAACAGCAGCCTTGCGGCCGCGACATGGAATGCGGTGTGAAGGTTTGGAATCCGGTACGTAGCAGACTCGATCTCCATTCTCAACCATCCCTGCCCGTGGTGAGGTGAGCCCAACCGACAAAATCATTCTCAAGCCTTTCCAATTTGATACCATTAATTGAACCCTCCCCCACGCCGCAGTTGGCCCAAGTCCCTCCATCCTCCCCTTCCCACTACGCAAACGGATAAAACCAGTCGCTCGGCACCGGCGGGAACAGAGCCGGCGGCGGCGGGACCCACGCGGCCACCCGCTCCGGCGTAATCCGCGACCATCGTACCCTTACCATCATCGGCACCGTGACCTCCGCAACCCCCGTATTTCCCGCCGCCATATCCGCGGCCAACTGCGCACACGTCGCGGGCGTCGTGCACGACACTGGTTCCCCAAGCGACCGCACGCGGCCGTAGGCGGCACGCACGCCCACAATCATTGGTTCCGGCTTGGCGGCATTCCCTGCATCGGCCCAAGCAAAGTCGAGGTCGAGCTGCGTCGCGACGAGCGGGCACGTGGTGGGCGTGTCAGGCGCGGCGGAGGCGGGTGGGGCGGCTGCGACGGTCACAGGGAGCCAGTCGCTGGGTGCGGCGGTCGGGCTGGTCGTGATGTTGCCGAATCGTGCGACGGAGGACGCGCGGGAGAGGACCGAGCCGAGGTATGCGCGGATCGTCGCGCAGGTCGTCGTCGACCCGGGAGTCCAGGTCAATGCGCAGGCGGATTCGGTGTCAGTCGCGAAGCGGATGAGCGGGCGCGGGAAGCGTGGTGACGAGGTGTCGAGGAGCGAGGCGGTTGGGTGCAGAGCGGCCACGTCGGACGGGAAGTGTGGCGAGGAGGATGAAGTCGAGCTGCACTGGCCCGTGGTCAGGTCGGTGGTGGGGAGCGACCAGTACCAGTCCGACGGCGCGAGCGTTGGCGAGCTGGGCCACGACAAGTCCCACGCGAGAATGGGCGAGCCAAAGTGGAAGCCGGGGCTCCCTGACCGGACTTGGACGTTGGCCAGTCCACCCTGAGTCGGAGCCTAAAGGGAAGCAATTCGTCAAATGCACGTTCAGAAAAAACGAAAAATAGTTGGCGCAAGCGCACCGACAAGCTCGTTGTCCCGCTCACGTTCACAAACGTGGCCGCAAACGTCTGCTCTACGACGCGATTCCCGACGGTCGTCACGGCCACCACGTCCGCAATGGCCCAATCGACGACGACTTGACGGATCCGGAACCGCGCGGAGTTGCTCACGGCTGGTGCGTACTCAATGCTGTAATGCACGTCCGTGACGACGGTTCGGCACGTGGACCCGACGAGATTTGGCGCGGGAATCGTCGACCTGTCGACGGTACTCGTGCACCCGCCGATACAGCACGCGCCATTGACCTGGAATCGCGTCGGGCACGACCACGGCTGGCGTAAGACGACGGGTGCCGAGCTGCTCGGGATGGACGGGTCGGACGTAATGTCGGCGAGGCCAGCGTAGATGCTAATGTCGAGCGTAGAGTTGGCTGCGCACGCCGAGCTGGGAGATGAGAGGTCGCGTGTGCAGGAGGACGCGGACGAGTTCAAGAACGCTATCAAAAGAACCACCTCGTCAGGAGTAAAGTGAGAAGAACAGCAGAAGAAACTGTCCAAAACGCACCTAGATGAGCCGAGTCAATGCACGCAGAAGAACTCGAGGGCGGTCCACGCGCGCGCGGCACATAAAACTGGCCTTGTCGCGAGCCGTCCGGCTTGAGCAGGGTCTGAATGGCCATCCCTGGCTATCCTTTCCCGTGGGCAAAGCAAGAGTCCCGAAGGAAATCAGTCGAAGAGAACGCGAGCAGGAACCCGCAGCGAGCAGCCTGCATACCGTGTAGGCGGACGCAGTTTGAACAGCGTACTCGGCCGCCGGATCGGTGGACAGCTGGGGCGAGGCCGAGCCGAGCGCAAAGTTGAGATCGGCCACGCTCGTCAGCGACGTGGTGGACGAGACGTAGAACGATCCGAGGGACGGGTCTGTTGGACGTGCGAGCGACGTGAATATCTGGTCCATTCGGGGCGATAATGCTGAGAGAAATCAGAGCGCACTGTTGTTGTACAGAACACACACGGGGTTCCCGCCCAGTTGAGTCGCAGCAGCGGTTCCGTGCACGGCAACGAGCCCTTGGACGCACGCCGATTCGAACGTCACGGCCGAGGCACCCGCGGCCACGTACGCATCGACGCTTCCAACCGCGCAGGAGGGTACTGTTCGCGCAGATGCTGGGCAATCGAGGTCGCAGCAGCATGTCGGGTCGCAGAGCGAGTTAAGATCACACGGGCACGCCTGGAATGCTAGGGCGTCGTATCACGGTTCGTTCAGCAGCGCAAACGATAATCATGCTGGCGTGAAGTATTTGCGAACCCGGCGACGAGATCAAAGACAAGTCGGTGCTCGCATTCACTGACACGAGGGCGATTTGGCAAATCGCAGCGGCAATTGCAACGAGAGCGACGAGTGCAGCTCGTCCCGTCCTTAAGTGTGGCCTCGATCGCCTTGTGGGGTGTTGTTGATTGGCTTGCATTGTCGACGGTCGGTCGTTTTCGGAGCAGCTTGCGATGGAGTGAGAGCTGCGCCGTTTGGGATATCAGGCTGTTGCAGCGGATGCGTTGATAAAACGTTTGGGCGTGATAAATTGCAGTGTCGTTTTGCAAGGGGTTGCAGCCGTCCACATGCAGTGTTCCGATATGCTAAACGACGGACAAGTTGAAGTCGAAGATGGGGTGGCGGATGCGATAGTGGAGGATCTGCTGCGGTGGACATAACTCGACATGACTCGTGACCGCGTCGCTCTTGCCGTCAGAGCTGTCACGGCATCCACCGCGCTGGCAAGCAATCTTTTGTCCCGTCGTTGGCGACGGTCGGTCGCTTTGACGCCAGCACTCGCCACCAACCGGAATCAAGCCCGCATTTGCTGCAACCATGGCCGATAAACCCGCCAACAACGCCTGGAAGGCTTCCGCTGCGAAAGTGCCCGCTGTCGCGCCCGCCCCGAAAACCACGACGTCAGTACCACCTCGTTGCCAACTCCGCCACCAGCCTGGTCCTGTCCGCTGCGATGCGAATCCCGTTTGCTGTGCAGAGAGACGGACCGCCACCTCTGCGTTGGCGCTCGGCGGCGTGATGGCGGGGCTCGAATGCGCAATCTGCATTGAAACTGACGACTCGGAGTTGATGCAATCGATATAACAGCCAGGTCGACGATGACGACGACTGGGACACGGGCGCAGACTTTATCAACGACGTGAGCGAGAAGGAATCGCGGTACAGACCCGCGTGTCCCCACGCCAGACGTCAAACTTTAACCGTGGCTATGGCGGCGAGTTTGGCGTGGAGCAGGATCGTTTGGACAAGAGTGTGCACGGGAAATGAGCTTGGAATGTGTTGGAGGTGGAGGAAATGAAGACTGTAACAATTTTCATGGATTCAAAAATGAACTGAGGCTGGCTTCCTCTAGCACGTTGAGACAGAGCATCCATGTGGACCAGTCCTTGATGTGATGTTCCCTGCCAGGTTCGAACTGGCGACCTTCTCGGTGTAAGCGAGACGTCGTAACCACTAGACTAAGAGAACGTGGAGGTTTTGAGCAGAACAGTAAACAGATTCGTAAAACCAGGTTTGTGTCAAGGCCTGAGGTGATCGCTTTTGGCGGTCTTGCCGTCGATCAAGTTTGCACTGCGAGATGTAAACGTTCTGCTCGTGGGCAACCATCTCGACGACGCTCTCTCAACCACCACGACCACAACGACTGCTCAAGCTGTGTGCTCGTGCTGACGATCTGGCGAGAACGACCACCCGGCCATCCGCGACCAACTGTCCAACGTGCTGAACTGCGCTGCGATCCCGAACGGACTCGACGACGAATTCGCCCGCGTCCCCACGTTCCAGCCCCCGATATCATCAACAACCATGCCCGTTCGCCTCTTGGACCGTATGTTGCTTGAGCGGGCGATGCACGGCCGCCCGCCGGTGAACTTGCGGTGTCGCGTCTCTGCGACCATCCGCCCTGTGGGACTCAAGGCGAGCAATTGATTGACTGGTGCTGGTCGCCCGCTCGCCGCGCGTAATAGACCTCTTGAACGAGCGCAGTCTGATCCAGACCGAGTCGGCCACGTCGCTCGCCGGCACCCGACTCGGGATCGACGCGAACACTTGGCTGCGCAAACTGATCCAGACGCTGCGCGACAATGCCCTCACGGGGCTTGGTGCGACGATCCCGTTCCATCTCGGGCCCATGATCGACACGGAGCTGCAGTGGTTCCGGTACGTCCGCTCGACGCCGGCCTCCTCGCGCTCGACCCTTCCCTTCGCTCACGTCCAGCACGAAATACCTAGCACGCACCGCATCCAGCCCGTCTTCGTGTTCCCCGGGCTCAACCTGCGGCGCGACCGCCCGTTCACGGGCGAGGACACGCGCATTGGCAAGCGGCAGGCCGCGTGGGAAAAGTACGCGCTCGGGCAAACGAACTCGGCGCTCGGCATGTGGGCCACGGCGGCGCCGCCGCTGAGCGACGTGTTCCCGTACCTGATGCAGAAACTGCACGAGCAGGGCATCGAGTACCTGCGCGCGCCGTATTCGTCGTGGGGCCAGTTGACCTACATGGTCAACCACCCGATGCAGCTCGTGCACGCCGTCTACGCCGGGTCGGACTTGCTCATGTTTGATGTGGACCGTGTGATTACGGGGATCGACCAGGACGTACGTTGCTGCTTGTGTGTGCGGGGATTCGGTAGAAGGGCGAGATTTGACGGCGTGCGTGCCGCGAATTTGTGTAGAGGAATTCGTTTACGTGGGTCGACAAGAATCAGGTCGCGGCCAAGATTGGCCTCTCCAAGGACCAGTTTCTCGACTGCTGCATCTTGGCCGGATTTGACTGGATCAACACGTACAAGCCGCTGACCAACGACCCGTCAGTGCCGTTCAACTGGGTGATGCTCACGGAGCTGTTCCGGCACGTGCATACGGGTGTGAATCTGATCCACAACATTGGCGACCAGCGAGTACGCGTTCTTTTATATTTTGTGGGGCCGAGCCCTGCCCGGTTTGAAAGAGTCGCTGACTTCGTTGTGGCTGTCCAGGACAAGCCAAGCTACCTCGAGCAGTACAGCCGCGTGCGGTGCGCAATCAAGCACCACCTGGTCCTCACGACCAACGGCACCGTCGAGCCGCTCAACAAGCCACAGGCGCCGAGCGATCTGCACGACGTGTTTGGCCCGCGGTTGCCCGACCGCGTCTACTGGGCGCTCACGCAATGCCTCGTCTCGCCGCCGCTCTTGCAGCCAGTCCTGACGGGCACCGTGCCGGAATTTTCGCCCATGTGCAACGGCGAGACGATTGAGTATCAGAACATGCTCGCGTCGTTGTTGCGTGTGCGCGCGTGGACGGCCGATGTGGTCAACAAGGATTTGCCGCCGGCGCTGTGCGGTCGGCGGATGGCGGCCGTGTATTGGAACCAGCCGAACGTCGAGCACCCGATTGTGCCGGACGCGACGGCGTCGAGTTTGCGGTGGTGTGTGGATAAGTTGCCGGGGCTCGAGCCGGGGATGAAGATTGATTTTGTCGCGTGCTTGCGCGCGGTTGCGCAGGCGACGCCCGAGCAGGTCGCGGCAACGGTGGGGCCGACTCCCACGGTACGTTCAGTTTCTTTAGCCTGCTCGAAACATGCCGCTGAGGTCTCTTGCCTTTGACCGATCAGAATATGACGTCGACGCAAGTACTCGCCGACGTTCACTGCCGGATCTTGGAGCTCTGCGGGTACGCATTTCATACCATGTTCCCACCCGCCAAGGTGCGATTTTCCACTGACCCCAATCCATCTCCGCAGCTACCTCGACGCGGGCCACCGCCCGACGGCCTCGGGCCGAGCCTACCTGGTGAGCGCGACGCGCCCACACGATGTGCGCGGTGCTGGGACGACCTTCCACGACGACCTCTTCGTCGCGGCCGAAATGCTGCGTCTCGGTGTCTTCCACGACCAGCCCTACTCCAAGGCCTACCACGCTGATCCGATCACCGACCCTCAGGTCCGCGCGCACGTCCTGCTCCTGTGTCGCGTCGCGTGCTGCCTGGAACCGGCGTGCAAGCCGCAGCCGTGGCAGGGTGCACTGAACCGGGACCTGCTCGTGTGCGCGTCTTTCATGAAACTCACGACGCGTACATTGCGCACGCTCGCCGAATCCCTCGCGCTGCACACGGCGTCGGGCGACTTGGCGACCCTCTCGCTCGGTTTGCCGTTCGCGTGCATCAAGGGTGGGGCCGGGGCCAAGTCGGCGGCGATGGGCGTGCTCGTGCGCGAGTTTCTGGTGGCTGTTGCGCAGGGCACGGAACCGGCGCGTGCGCAGACGCTCGCGGGGCACAAGTGCGCGTCGGTCGCCGACGTTGCGCATGAATTGGACCGGTTCCGCGCGTTCTTGGACTCGGTCGTGAGCTTGGTCAAGCACTTGCAGCGCGCTGGGCTCCTGCCGGATCCGATCGCGCACCAGTTTGAAGCCGCGGCCGCGTGGGTTGCGCCGGTGTGGCGTGGGGCGGCGCCGGTTGCGGTGGGAAATGGTGTGACAGCGGTTGCCGCGGAGCGTGCGGTGCCGGTCACGGCCGAGCCGGTCAACGTTGTGCCGGTGAGCGAGCCGGTCGCACCGGTGCCTGCGTCCGCGGCGGCGGCTCCCAAGGCCGCCCCAATTCCGGCGCCGATCCCGGAGGCCGCGCCGGTGGGCGTGTCCGCGCTGATCCCGAATGCGGTGCCCGTGACGATGCCGCTTCCCGGCGTGCCGACTGGGCCGGTCCCAGTGCCCGTGGGGATGCCGCAGCACGGGCAGTACATGGGCGGGCCGCGCAAGGGGGCCGGGCGCGGGGGCCGCAAGGGGCGCAAGTGATCCGACGCGATGGCGTTTTGAGCGCGGGAATGGTGGAAACCGAGGTGGATAGTGGATGAGAACAATTATCAGGTTTTGAGCTGTGCTGGACGAAGTATTAGGTATTAGGTTACTTCAGGAGGCGTCCCGCGCGCGTCAGGGGCGAGGCGGGGGCGCCTGCCAACCCTGTTGGCCGAGGCCGAAATGGTCACGCGCCAGGGCTGCGCGCTTTTGAGAGCGGAAACGCAAACCAAACGCAAACGACTCTTTCTGCACGCAAAAACCGGCATTTCCTGAACCGCCGAGCGGCGCGCTGCCGTCGACCGCGCCCTTTTTTGTCGCCAACCAACGCCGCCCTCGGCAGTCCACAGTATAAAGACGCGCTCGCCCCCCGTCCCCCAGTGCTTTCTCTTCGAAGTTGCTGCAACCGTCACTCGTGCACTCCTTCGCTCTCCCCCCCTCTTTCAACCAAGTTTTCATCCATGTACGTGTCGCCGCTGCACCACTTGCGCCCGTCGTGCCCTCGTAGCATCGCGCGTCGTCGCGCTCGCATCCCCGGTCGTCGACGCCTCCGTTTCCGCGCAGATCCGCATGGACGGCTGTGTCGTGACGGTGGCGACGCTGCTGCGAGCGCTCGCGAGCACGATCCGTTGAGCATACATACGCCCCTTCCCGCCGCCCTCAACTGACCCCCCGTCGCCCCACCGTTCCTTAGCCGTTACCATGCGTGAGTGCATCTCCATCCACGTCGGTCAGGCCGGTGTCCAGATCGGTAACGCCTGCTGGGAGCTCTACTGCCTCGAGCACGGTATCCAGCCCGACGGCCAGATGCCCTCGGACAAAACGATTGGCGGCGGCGACGACTCGTTCAACACCTTCTTCTCGGAGACGGGTGCCGGCAAGCACGTGCCCCGCACCGTGTTCGTCGATCTCGAGCCGACGGTCGTCGACGAGGTCCGCACGGGCACCTACCGCCAGCTGTTCCACCCCGAGCAGCTGATCACGGGCAAGGAGGATGCCGCCAACAACTACGCGCGTGGCCACTACACGATCGGCAAGGAGATTGTCGACCTGGTCCTTGACCGCATTCGCAAGCTCGCCGACAACTGCACGGGCCTGCAGGGCTTCCTCGTCTTCCACTCGTTCGGTGGTGGTACCGGTTCGGGTTTCGGTGCCCTGCTCCTGGAGCGTCTCTCGGTCGACTACGGCAAGAAGTCGAAGCTCGAGTTCTCGGTCTACCCGGCCCCGCAGGTGTCGACGGCCGTGGTTGAGCCCTACAACTCGATTCTCACGACGCACACGACGCTCGAGCACTCGGACTGCGCGTTCATGGTCGACAACGAGGCCATCTACGACATTTGCCGCCGCAACCTCGACATTGAGCGCCCGACCTACACGAACCTGAACCGTCTGATTGCGCAGGTCGTGTCGTCGATCACGGCCTCGCTCCGTTTCGACGGGTCGCTCAACGTCGACTTGACCGAGTTCCAGACCAACTTGGTGCCCTACCCGCGCATCCACTTCCCGCTCGTCACCTACGCGCCGGTCATCTCGGCCGAGAAGGCCTACCACGAGCAGCTTACGGTCGCTGAGATCACCTACTCGTGCTTCGAGCCGGCCAACCAGATGGTCAAGTGCGACCCGCGCCACGGCAAGTACATGGCCTGCTGCCTGCTCTACCGCGGTGACGTTGTCCCCAAGGACGTGAACGCGGCGATTGCCAC